TCACAGCACAACCATGTGAAAAGGTTTTTATAAAAAAGCCAAAACAAAATAAACACAAAACCATGCAACTATTTCTTCTGTTTTTGATCCATATTGCCTAATATCTAGCTATTTTAAATTATCTGAGAAATTGATCTATTTCCCTTTTCATCAAGAAACATATTATAGAGACTCAGATATATACTTGCTAGTAGAATGTCAAGTTAAATCATATATAAGCAGGCAATGTAAAAGACATATAAAGCAATAGTAATAAAATCACATTTTTGGTTTGACTGACAGCATTATTATTGATTATGAAAAAAGGCATACATAGCCTTGTAAAATGAGTCCACTGGTACAATATCTCTAGGCCATCTGAGTTCTCACTTTGACAGGCTCAACATATAGGAAACTTATTGCACTGAGTTTGTTTTCTGTAAATCTCAGGAGGTGGGTAATGCCTTAGTCTGGATATAACTACTCAGGGTTTTCTTGTGAAAACCCCAGAAAGATTCTCTAAATTTTCTATAAATATAGCATATGAGCCTGGTGAACAATAATTAATGACATATAATCACTCAGAATTACCTTGCCAATGAATTTTGAAGAAGTTTGATCATTACAGAGAAAATACCTAGCAAGTTTTCTAAGTGCCATATGTGGCATTTTCTCCCTTAAAGATGTATATTGTGGTGGCTAGGGCTCAATAGATAGCCACTTAATTTCCTTCTTTCCTATATTTTTTCCTTATAGGTTTACATTATGTACTTCATATAGTGCAGTATAGTCCCTGAGCCTTTTTATCTTCAGTGCCACACAAGAACTCTCTATATAAAAGAAAGACAAAGTTCTTACTTTTAGTAAGATACATTTATGAGTGAAAAACTATGAGTCTGTCCTTAGCTTTGTCATCTCTCCTGAGGAAATAAATTTGCTGCTTAGCAGGATACCTCCAACAGTACCACGCTGGTATTGAGAGATGAGTCAGCTCAGAAACACTCCATGGAATCAGAGAAGTGCCTTCTTCCTGACATACAGTTTCTAAAGATGCCACATCATGGAAAGGGCTTATCCAGAGTAGGATCCTCAGGGCTTCCTCATCCTCAGGGTCAAATGTTAGTGAAAATGCAAAAAGCACCCCTGATGGGTGAGGTGTGGAAGGAGGAGCTGCTAAAGAAGAGAACACCTGAAACTAGGTATTAATTAACCTAGGCTTCCTTGGAAAAGGAGAGGGAAGGGGTGAGGAGAGAGAGAGAAAGAGAGAGAGAGAGAGAGAGAGATGAGTGTATGAGCATTTCCTGTGACCCACACCCTACCCCAGGTGTCCTGACCCTTTTACCATCAACGCCCAAGATGATGCATAGATGAAGCCTTGTTCGAAGGTATAGGACCCTTTCTTTTTCTGCTGGGCTATAAGCATGTCAGTAGGACTTCAACACATTAAAGTCCTCCAGGAGTATTGCTTTCTACACAGAACTACTCCTGATATGGGAAGAAGAGCATATTGATACTGTAATCCTCACTGCAATAACTGTATAGGTTTGGTACATTGTCACTACTCAGTAAGTCCGTAAGAGATCTGTCCATAAAAATCTACATACCAACACCTTTGAGGGAAGCAATCACAATTCAGGTGCTCTGCATTTGCATAGTACACTGCAGTTTCCAGAGTATGGTCATCAGTATGGAATACTAACAATTGTCCTTGATATAGAAATGACAGACATAATTATCTTCATTTTTATTTATTTTATTTTATTATTTTTTGTTTTTTATCTTTATTATTGGTGTGTGTTAATTGTAGATAGTAAGGAGTTTCATGATGAGATTTCCATACATGCATTCGATGTGCTTTGATCATACTGATTCCTCCATTAGGCTCAGAGGTGTTAGCACCTTGCAAGTACTATAAATGGTAAAACTGAGACTAGAATCCAGGTTTTTAAAATTTCTAGCATAGCTTTCTTCTACTATAGCCTGGTGATGACACTGATCACACCACATTAGCGTATATTCCTTAACATTTTAATTTCTTCTTTTTAGTTGGCGGTACTGGGGTTTGAACTTGGGCTTCATGCTTTGTGAGAGAGGCACTATATTGCTTGAACCATGCTTCCAACTAATTTCTCAATCATCCTTCCTTGCATGAGAACTTCCTCAATAATGAGATAAGAATCATGTTAGGGAAACATGGCACAAAATAAGGAGAATATGGATTTTAAAAGTATAGAGATTATAAATTAAAGCAGCATAACTGTTAACTATATAGGCTCCATTTTTCAATCAGTTTAAATTACTGTAATGTATGTTTTTCAACTCAAATTTAGCTGCAGTCTGAATATGTAACTTTCTTAATGCCTCACAAATTTCTGTGTGTCGTTTTCCTTTTAATTTGCCTCATTTTGCATCATGCTTTACATTGTGCCAAATATATCTGGAATATGAAATTATCTTTTCATGTCTCCACATTCCACAGGAAGAATTTTTCTCCTTATGTATTTTATAGAATCATTCTTTTATGCCTTAAAGGCATATATCATTTACACCCAAAAATCACTTAAATATTTTTTCTTCAAAATTTTCCAATGTAATAATCCCTTATAACGCGCCTAAAACAAAGTCAAATTATGGTGAAAGTGAAGAATATAAATTGCGAGCTGTGTCTCATCTGGCAGAGGCTCCCTGCTACCATTTAGTTTGGAAATTCACAGCGATGAGCACACAAGAGGATGACATGACTACATGTGACTACAGCCGTGGGGACATCAAAGTGATCGTGAGTTAATTTCCAAAGAAATGAGAAACTCTCAGCATAGACGTTTTCAATCAATAGCCAAGCAACCCAGAAAAAATTAATTTGAATGAAGTTATTTTCCTATGATGGCTGTATAAAAAGACATATGTTTCCAAGAAACTGGCTTCAAACATAATTCAGATCAGAGAAAAATAACAGTCTAATTGACAGGTCCGAAATATGGAGACGAGGATATTTTCAAAAAGCATGCCTCCGAATCAAAGCTAAGTTAAGCAATATCACTTTGATTTCTCCTTTCCCATCTTTTGTTCATCCTATTGCATCCAGTATACTTTAAAGGGAAATTACTTGAACACAGTATTATTTTATGATAACCTAAGTGTTCTAGATACTTGTTTAGATTTTAGGAGATAGAAAAAAGTAAATTCATGTGATTTCCCCAGTGACATGCCTTTATCCCACTATAGTATTTTATTCTAAACCAGCTCACACTTGGGGGATAAAATATGGTAATAAAAGGTAGATGTGAGTGTGTGCACCTGTGCAGACTGTGTACCACTACTATAGGGGAGGTTGATGGCTAGCTTTCTACTTCTCGATGGCCTCTGCCTCTTTGTTCATCTGACCCAGCAGAATCCATATCGTGAGCAGTGTTAGTTAGCATCCTGTACATGGACTGCACAGGGACGGGCAGTCCTAGATGTGTGTGAGAGGTGATTTGAGCCAGCGAGACATATATTTCTTGCTTTCTCATTTTCACCCGTTACCTCATTCCCTAGCTTTCTTCCTATTTTAACACTTTCCAAAATTCAAACTCAAGCACAGATGGTGAAAAAGTGATTTCTGTCTACCAAGCTAAAGAAAATGCCCAAATATTAATCAGTATTTATCTAGAAACAGAACCTGAGAGTTAATAAATTAGAAGGACTTAGATTTCTAACACTAACATCTAAATTTGGGAAATGTTTCTTTTTTTATTGCTGGTAGCTTCATTGAGTTGCTATGCATGGGGAGTTCAGTATGTTGAATCTCACTGATTACCTGTAATATCAAGTCCTGTGTTAAATTATATATTGTCATTGTTAAAGAAAATGGGTTGGTTCTGCATTCTAATTTACACCAATGTTCTATCCTTCTCCTTAGCTCTTACTCACCTCCAGGATTCATAATATAAATGTCCCTTAATGAAAGATTTTTGAAAGGGTCTGAACAGCCCTGAGGTTGTCAAACTGCTGCTTCAATGCTCTCCATATTAAATGTTATTTCTATAGCCTGAAAAAGTCTACAGGAGTACAAGTTTGGTTCTGATTACATAATTATGCTACAGAAATATTAAAAAAATCATCACTAAAACCCTCCAGGTGCTTAAACAGTTTGATAGACTGTAGCCATTCTGCCATCAGCGCCCCCAGCTGTGTTGCTTAGCAACATTTTAATTCCAAAAGAATCGAAGGAGATGAAATCCCTGTGGAGAGGGAAACAGAAATAAGAGGGCTGTTGACAGATGATCTGAGTTGTTTCTTCTAATATACTGTGAAGATCACTAGCTCTTTTCATGAATGATAAATGGACTGTACACAGATCAATGGGTTCAGCAATAAACTGGAACCAGGCTCCATGTCTAAGGTGACTCAGGCCAAGAGGCCCAGAGATTTCCTCATTTCACGATTTGGTGTGTATTTTCTTAAAGGTTCTATGGGAGGAAATTGATCTCAGTATTTGGTCATTTCTTGCCCTTTCTTAGTGTCTGCTAATAAAAGTGACTTTGGAAATGGGCGTTTTGGCCTTTTATCACAATGCAGGTGTGGCCAGGTGTCAATAGTAATGCTAGGATTAATGGTTCCCTACCACAACTCTAAAGTCCTGGATATGCCCACAATCATTCCTATGTACCCCCTTCCTCACATTGTCATTACAACCCAATCATACTCACATGGAGTGAGATTAGAGTGAAAAGTGGGCAATAGAAGATGTAGTTATGCACCCAAGAGCCCACTCGAATGGCCCCTGATGAACTTGGTCAACAGCCCTGGCAATGCCCATCTGTGTTTGAAGACTGCACTTTGAAAGGCATCCATGTTCCCTGGGAGAAGAATATTGCTTGTTCTATGTCCCCAGTCTCCTTATAAGGAGACTTATAAGGACCTTCAGTTAGCTCCTTATGGTTCTTAAAAAAGTATTTCACGCTACTTATTGTTTTGGTTACTAGTTGCAAAGATTATGCCACTAATGTTGTCTAATTGTGTTTTTCTTCTCTTCACAGGCTGTTGAAAAGGCAAAACCTAAGAATAATCCTGTAAAGTAAGTTATTATTTTTATTAGTTGAAAATGTTAGCCTTAATGAACCCCATGCATGTAAAAAATAAGGTCACGAGAGACTTGGATTTTGAGTAAATCTCAATTCATTACAACTTAAAGACAAAAACAAAACAAGCAAAAAAATCCACTCTCCAGTGAGCAAAGAGCAGCTTATACTTTTCCCTGTGTCCCTGATGAGAAATGCCCCAAGTTGTACCCACTTTACATAAATTAATATGTGCACTGTGTGAATAACTGCCAAATACTATTATAATCATGTTCAATGCATACTATCTCAAACCTTTGGGTTTTGCACATGCTAAAAAGATTACATTTTTAATTGCAAACCTTGGACCTATGACAGAGACATAAATGGCTGAAAGTACACCAAGTGATCTCTAGCCACGTGGGGAGGTTTGGCACCTTGGCATCAATGCCTCAATATTCTGTTAATGAAAAGTTCATAAAATACATTTAGCTAAAGTTCATTTAAAACTAACAAAGAGCTATTTATAAGGCATTTTATGGGACACTTAAATTATAAACAAGCCACCCTGTACTTTTTTAAAAATATAGTACATCTTAGACATCCTGTTTCTTCCAGAAGGGAGACTTTCAAATTAAGAAAGATGGCTGTCTTGTTATTTGGATCAGTGACATCTGATTGCACTGTTATGATGTGTACCAGTCCTGTCAGCCATGTGGCCAAGGGACAACTTGCTCTATTTGCTGGGCTATATTAGGTCTGGTAATATCATATGTCTAGGAAGTATGTGTTAATTTATGTCAACCAACTTTCATTACAACTGATATTGAATACAGAAATGGGGAGTGCATTGATTTTTAATAGTTTCTGAGAGAGTGGATCAGCTAATGCCAAAGACAGAAAGGCTGCTTATGTTCTATAAAAGAATTAACTTTTCTAGGTCATGAGGGTAGTGTTTAACATACCATTAAATCCAAATCCTAAAACACTTTTCCAAAAGGTATTGTGCACTTGGCTTTTAAATTTCATTTTTCTTACACCACATAATATTCTCTGATAAGACACCATAAACTTTGAAGGTGCATCTTCAGTCTGGAGGTGTATTACATTTTAGTGCTCATAGGGAAGTACTTTTAGTAGTGAGATTTTATATAATTATTTGGTTGGGGTTGGGGTTGAAATCTTCTCTGTAGCTTGATTTCTTTTTTGCGCGTATGCCCTAAAGGCTCCCTCTACTATGGGCCTGTGGCTGGAAAAGATGCTAATGAGACCAGGACCAGGGCTTCAGTCCCTGGGTGGGCCATTAATGATCTTCTTTTCCACAGTCCAACTGTACTCGCCCTCCTGTCTGCCTGCATGCCTATAAGTGCCTCAGGTCACAAAGGGGTAGGGCAGTCTGGAGAAGCATAAATCTAGGCCCTTGATGGGGAAAATGTTCTCCAATAGGAAGTAAAACTCAAGCTCCATCTTTGCATACATGGAAAAGCCCGTTGTCACTGTGTGGGACTACATTATACTTTAATGGCTTGGAAGTGGGACCAGTTTTCTGTTTGCTCCTTGTGAGAATTTGACCTTATGGATAACTATACTTTTTACGAGTTCTCGTTAATTCCACAGTGTAGCTTCTATCTAATATCTAGCCTTTTAAGGGCTGTTTTAAAGACAAGACAGGAAAACTGGAAGAGTCAAAAGAGTTACGGAGCTTTCTACTTTTAAATATAGTTGAAAGTCTATTTAGTGACAAAACTAAGTTATGAACAATTGGTAAGTATTTAAAATTGTTTTCTAAATAAATAAGATAGTGTTCTAAGCATTAGTTTTGGTATCTTGCTGCGTTTGGTCTCATGATACCAAGCCCATTTGCCTAGCCATAGTTAATTGGGCACTTTAAGGAGAAAGGCTTCCGCAGCGTCAGGGACAGAAACTCTACAGCATTGTTCAGTTACACCGCCAGACTGAAGAACAGAGAAAGAGTTTTTAAAGTTTTATATTTAATGGTCCTCTTGCCATTTCTGATACCTGCCATAGAATTTGCGTTACACATAATAACTGGGACTCCAAATAAAGTAAAGTTTCAATCCATGTTTTCTGAATGAATAAACAAGTAAGGGCACATGTCTGAAAATAGTTTTTCCAGGAAACTGACCTGGAGGCAAAATAAGGCTGATAGTTCTACTCTAGTAGGGTATTGCCACGAAGTCATAAGGGCTTCTGTGTTGTAACTTCCCTACTCATCCAGTCTGGTTTTCTTGATTTATGCCACATATAAAAATATAAAAAATATTGTTGCATATCTTTATATTTTTTAAATATAATTATAAGAATATTAAAATACTCCCACATAGCTCTGGTCCTTCCAGCTGCTTTGCCTCTGAGCAGTTCATTGTTTTATCTCTAATGCAAGAATTAACATTTGATTGCCTTTTGGAACATGCTAGAATGACAAGATCTGATGGCATTTGGATTTACAATTTGGTAACAATTAAAGTATGAATACATATTGGTGAAGATAATCATTGATGGTATTTGATATAGTACCTTGGTGTAGAGTTTGACAAATAGTTGGAAAAAATCAGAATAGGAAGAATATTTCATGACGTGAAAATTATGTGAAATTCCAATGTCACTGCATAAAATTTTATTGTAATACAACCACACTTATGTATTTCCATATTATCTGTGGCTACTTTTTATGTTCCAATGGCAAAGTTGAATAGTTGCAACAGAGACTGTTTGTAGCACACAGAGCAAAACACATTTACCATCTGTCCCCTTATAGAAAAAATTCGCTGGCTTCTGTTCTAGTGGGTCAAGTAGAAAGCGGCACTAAGCTTTTTCTTAAACTATTAACCCTTTTACGTTTTGTCCTTTCAGACAATGAGTAGATGTTTACTGAGCCCTTATTGTGTGTTCAGGACATTCATGGGCTAATATATCACCTAATTCTCATTCTGAGCAAAAACATTTATTCATTACTCACTTTGAACACCCAATGGATACAAGATCCATTGACAGGGCGATGCTGCCTCAGAAACCAGTGTTAATCTTCCAAGTTGTGTGTTAATGGTTAGACTGCAAAGGGCATATGCATTTTCTAAAATTCTGTTACTTCCAGATCTATCTAAGAGAAAGTAGCTTTCTTTCATTTGGGTGAGAGTAAACAATTTGTAATATCCATTTAATTTGTGTATTATCCTCTTTAAAAGCTTCCCTCTCCCTCCCTACTTCTCAACCACTTGTTCAATTTATTTTTAATACATTCTTGGTTGTAAGCTTCTTTTATCCTATAGGGAGACTATAGCTCACATTAATTACACTCAATATAAAGGAGAAACTAAATATATGCCTCTAAAATATAAACACACAATGTACCTGAATACAATAATAGCCTTACTTGAACATTAAATACTGCTTCTGAAAGCAAGACTCAAAAGCAAATGCTCTTAAAAATCAATGATCAGGACAAGGAATGCTTGGTTTACTTCTCAATATGTTGGAACTATACTGGTAGCAAGGCTTGATTATTATGTTAAAACCACAGTTCTGTGATGTGTTGGAGGGAAAGATTTTCACTTGTATATTAAACTTGTGTAGCAATCATTTCTGAGATTTCATTGTGACAGCAAGTCCTGAGAGATGTACAGATTTCTCCTACCATATGTGACTTATCACATACATTTTTTAAAAAAAACACATTTCTGTTATTAAGACATATGTGATAGTACACTTCTGAAAATGTGAATTGCTTTTGGCTAAAAGCCATGCACTAATAAGTTGAGTTGAATCTAACCAAAGTTGACATCTGTTACAGAGAGAGAGAGAGAGAGAGAACAGTTGTCAAGCATAAAATTCTTCCTTTAACATTGCACAATGTGGTGGTTGGTTGTCTTTCACAAATCACAGTCATAATCCACTCAGCTTAGGAAATTACAGTTTTATTTAGGAACCAGTCTATCTTATAGATGTGGTGTTTTTATTATTGAAAATGACAAATAGCCAAAAAGATTTTCCTGACAGTGATGTTTGAACATTATTCATTTATTAATTCAATGAATATTTATTTAAGATGTAAAGCATTCTGGGAACTGTGATAGATGCTGAGGGGACCAAAAATAAATCTGCCACAAGTCTTACCTTTGAGGAATTTAGTGTTCAGTAGGAGAGAAAAAAAATCATCTGATAAACCTAAATAGAAGGTAAACAGAGATGTTGGTTAAATGAGGAACAGATAAAGAAGGAAAGAAGCTCTAAGGAGGGAAAGCATAGCACTATTGGAGACAGGGTTAAAAAGGGGGAAGAGGGTCATTTTCATCAAGATTTTTAGGACTGCTAGTTGAGACACTGGTTTGAGGTGTGGCAGGGGGATGCAAGGAGCCCAGGCTACCTGATGGTGAGCAGGCAGTGAAAGGCTAATTGAAAACTGAGTCTGAGAAGAAATGGTGGCTCTGGGCCCTCAGGGCTTACCATATGAAAGAAATTAGCTTAGTAGAATCAAATAGCATTGAAGAGTTCTTAAATTGTTAATGAAATTGAATTACCAATTTAGTCTCATAATTATTAAATACAAACAAAATGTTGATAGACTTGGGTTTGAGTCTTGAATCTGACATTAGCTTGTAGTATGAAATTGGATATATCCCTTCCTTGCTACAGACCTCAGCTAGATTATTTATATGGTCCTTCTAAGTCTTAAAAAAACAAAAAGTTAAAAAACCTGTCTTATATTTATGTTCATTTTAGAATATATTTAATCCAGTTCCATGTGGACTCATACATGTACATTCATTATAAGTGCTGTATATATAATACATTTTAGTTTTTCTCCATATGCACATGCACACATGCATACACATAATACCTTTCCTCATCTTTTTTGTCTTGTATGTTTGTGAAATGAAGAATAAGAATCCACATATTAAAGCTGTAAAGAAATATGTTAGAAGATAAGTATGGCTCCAAGTATGTTGGGTAGAGCTTTTGAAATGACCTCATATCATTTTGCAGTCAGAGGCTAAAT